TTCATTTCATTGATCCTTTGCATGGTTCATTGGTTCTCTATTTTATTTAGTACTGCTCTGATCTTTGTTGTATCTTTCTTCTGCTAACTTTTAGTTTGGATTGTTCCTTTTTTTCTAGTTCCTGGAGGTGAGACATAAGATTGTTAATTTTTTACCTTTTGTTTTTTTAAATGTAGGCATTTAATGCTATGTAAACTTTCCTCTTAGCACTGCTTTTGCTTTTTCCCAGATGTTTTGGTATATTGTATTTTTATTTTCATTCATTTCAAGAAAATTAAAATTTGTCTCAATTTTGTCATTAACCCAAACGTTGTTTAGGATCATGTTTAACTTTCACGTATTTGTATAGTTTCTAGAGTTCTTCTTGGAATTGATTTTTAGTGTTTTTTTCTGCTATGGTCTACGAAGATATTTGGTATGATTTTGGTTTTTAAAAAATGTACTGAGACTTGTTTTGTGACCTAACATATGGTCTACGTTGGAGAATGCTCCATGCACTAATCAGAAGAGTGTGTATTCTGCTGTTGGGTAGAATGTTCTGTAAATGTCTCTTAGCTCCATTTGACCTAAAATCGAATTTAGGTCCAGTGTTTCTTTGTTGATTTTCCATCTCAATGTATCTAGTGCTGTTTGTGGGGTGTTGAGTTCCCCCACTGTTACTGTATTGCCATGTATTGTTTTAGGTCTGATAATATTTTTTTTATGAATGTGGGTGCCCTGGTGTTCAGTGCGTATATATATAGGATTGTTATATCTTATTTGTTTATTGATCCCTTTATCATTATGTAATGACCGTCTTTGTCTTTTTTTTTTTTACGGCTGTTGATTTAAAGTCTTTTTTTATCTAATATAAAAGTAGCTACTCCTGCTCATTTCTGGTTTCTGTTTGCATGGAATATCTTTTTCTACCTCTTTACCTTTAGCCTGTGTCTTTATCAATAAGATGAGTTTCTTGTATGCAGCATATGGTTAGTTCATGTTTTGTCATCCATTCTGCCAATTTGTAACTTTTAAGTAGAGCATTTAATCCATTTATGTTCAAGATTAATACTGATACGCGAGGTTTTATTTCTGTCATGATGTTAATTATGTACTTGCTTTGTAGATATTTTTCTTTTTTTCTTTGAGTGTTTGTGATTTTGTGGAATTCTGTTATGTTGCCACTGGATCTTCTTCCTTTCTGTAATTATTTTATGAGGCCTGTGAGTTGTATACTTTTGTGTCTTTTATGATGGCAAGTATCAACCTTTGTTTTCATGGTTAGAACTCCAGCATTTCCTGTAGAGCTAGTCTAGTGGTGACAAACTTCCTCAGTGTTTTTATTTGGGGAAGGCTTATTTTTCCCTTCATTTATGGAGCTTATTCTACTAGATGTAAAATTTGTGGCTGACAGTTTTTGTTTTGTTTTGTTTTTTGAAGCAACTTGAAAATAGAATCCCAGTCTCTTCTGGTTTGTAAGGTTTCTCCAAGTTGAATTGTCTAATGGGGCTCCCTTTATAGGTGACTGGACACTTTTCTCTTGCTAATTTTAGGATTGTATTCTTCCTATAGACCTTAGTCTGATGATTGTATGTTGTGGTGAATTCCATCTTGCAATATATTTTCCTGGAGTTTGTTAGATCTCTTTTATCTGGATGTCTAAAGTTCTTGCTAGATTAAGGAAGTTTTCCTCAATTCTTTTTTCTTCACTTTCATCTGACTAGATTAATTCAAAAGACCTGTCTTCAAGTACTGAAATTATTTCTTTTGCTTGTCCAGTCTATTGTAAAAGCTTTCAACTGTGTTTCGTAATTTCTTCAATGGATTTTTCATTTCCAGAAGTTTTTGTTTGATTTTTTAAAAAAGATAGCTATCACTTTCTCTTTGGTAAATTTCTCATTCTATCCTGATTTGATTTTCTGATTTCTTAGTATTACTTTTCAAATTTCGTTTGTATCTCATTGAGCTTCCATAAAATCAGTATGTTAAATTATTTATGTGGCTTATTTTTTCCTTTATGATCTGTATTTCTTTTATGTTGGTTTTTTCCTGTCTTACTGCTCTGACTAGAACTTTCAATAATGTTGAATAAAAGTAGTGAGTATAGATATACTTGCCTTGTTCCTGATTTTCTGAGGGAAGGCTTTAGGTCCAATTTTGGAATATTAAATCAGCCTTGCAATCTTGAGATAACCGCTAATTTGTCTCGATTTATTATACTTTTTATACATTGTTAGATTTGATTCAATAACATTTTTGTTAAGAATTTTGTAAATACATTCATTAGGAATATTTGTCTGTAGTTGCCTTTTCTTGGAATATCTTTATCTTATCTTGATGTCAGAATAATGCTGGATTCCTAAAATGTGTTGAGAAGTATTCACTCCTTTTTGTTTTTCTGGAGGAGTTTGTCTAGCATTGGTATTATTTATTTCTTAAATGTTTGGTAAAATTCATGGGTGAAGCCCTATAAGCCTGAAATTTTGTTTGTGGAAATGTTTATAAGTATGAATTCTATTACTTTGGTAGATAAAGGGCTATTCAGATTATCTGTATGTTCTCAAGTAAACTTAGTGTGTGTCTTTCAATAAATGTGTCCATTTCATCCACACTGCCATAAAGTTTATAAGGTTTAAAGTTTATTGCCATAAAGTTTATAAGGTCCTTATTTTTTTTAATAATATATACAGGATTTATAGTGATGCCACCTCTGATTCCTGATATTTGTAATTTGTGTCTTCTTTCTGTTTTTATCATGCATGCTAGAGTTTATTAATTTTATTGTTCTTTTTAAAGAACTAGCTATTTATTTCTGTTTTCTATTTATGCTTACTTTGTATTTAATTTGTTCTTGTGCTTTTAGTTCCTTTGACACATTTCTGCTATGTAAGTTTCACTCTAAGTAGAAATTTTGATATGTTGGCTTTTTCATTCAATTTATAAAGTCTCTTTTGAATTATTTTTGATCCACAGTTTATTTAGAAGTATGTTATTTATTCTCTGAATATTTGAAGATTTTGCAGAGATGGTTCTGTTCATAATTTCTAATCAGTTGTGGTTAGACTATCCTTTGTATGACTTGACTCCTTTTGCATCTGTTAGAATTTGTTTTGTGGCCTAGAATATGGTCTGTCTTGGAGTATGTTTTATGTGCACCTGAAAAGAACATTTTCTACTCTTATTGGATAGAGTCCTATAAAGGCCAAGTAGTCAACTTCATTGTTAATGTTGCTTCAAGCCTGTGTCTTATTACATACTGTTTTTTGTTGTGTTTTGCTTTATTTTTAACAGCATTTGTTTGTTTTCTGGCTGCTGCCGCTGCAACTAAAACCCTTTTTTGTTTCTTCAGCTTTTGAGCATTCTAGAAAACCTGAATTCACAGAACCTTCTTGGTCAGAAGCCATGGTCTGTGGGCTGTTTGATAATTGAGATGGGAAAGGTGACTTCAATCCCCAGTTCCCTGAATGTCTTCCCAGAGTCATCGTAATAAGTCTCATGGAGGTTTTTGAGCATCTTTTTCCTCTGGTTGATGCTCATCAGCAGATAGAATTTGTGGGCTTTGTCCTTTTGATGTTTCTGCATGTGTTTTTCATAACTCCAGATCTTGACCAGGTGCAGTGGCTCCTCACTGCTGTAATCCCAGCACTTTGGGAGGCCGAGGTGGGAGGATCGCTTGAACCTAGGAGGTGGAGGTTGCAGTAAGCCAAGATTGTGCCACAGTACTTCAGCCTGGGCAGCAGAGCAAAACCCCATGCCAAAAAAACAAAACAAAACAAAGCTATGAACCTTGATGTTCAAATCAATAATTCCAGCCTCTGGGGAGCTGGTGTCCTTAGGGATTGTCACGTCCTTTTGTATCAACAATCAATAGGCTTGATTTTTGGCTTCTCCTGGTTGGCCATTTCCAAAGACAAGTGTCTTTTCACAACGTCATCAATCTTCTCAATTCTGGGAAAGTTCTGGTAGTCTTTGAGCAGCATAAGGGGACAGGTCATCATCTTGGCCGAGCTGGATTGGTTCCTGAATGGCATATCCACAGGCGGCTTGGAGGAAGAGACTTGGAGGCTACCAGCACCACTGATTAGAAGGAAGTCTGGTGCTCCCTCCTCTTGGCTTCTCAAAAACTGGACCTTGGGTTTCAGTGGAACTTAGCACCCTCCACGCAGCCCTTGGCATGGTGACTTCTGACCCGTGAGGGTCCAGGTCAGCTGTTGCCTTCACAGTGTGGACTGGGTTACATGGGCGCCGTCATGTATCTTCCTACTTCCTCTACTGGCTTTTGGAAAGGGGTGTTGAAATCTGCAGCTATAAATACAGATTTGTCTATCAGTTATTTTGAGCACATTTCTAGATGTGAATGTTGTACAAGGAGAGTCTATAATTGAGGCATATATTTAGCCTGATTTATGTAGTTGCTACTTATGAGTCAGTTGCTGTAACCAAAGAAGAGGAGACTTTTAATTTACCATTCTTATAGGCAAGGAAGTCAATTTTTCATTTCTAAGTACTTACTGAGATCTTACTTTGTTGCTCTGCAGCCTAGCTGGTTTCTACCTCCTGTCCTATTCTTAGATCTGTAGTTCTGTGTTTCCACAGGGAAATGAAACTCAAGAAAATCCATGATGGTAAAGATAAGCTGAAAATTTCCAATATAAACTAAAGCCTGATATTGAAGGACTGTGTGTAAAAATTGGACACATCTGGACCAAGCATTCAGTTTGAAGTTGTATATATTGGAGAAGACACACAGGCAGCAAGACACATACTCAGAAAAGACCCAAGAATACCTTAAGCACTCGCCCGGGGCTGATCTCAAATTTTCTGTCTTAAATATGGCTTTCTAAAAAATTGTTCTCTTGGCTGCAGCTGCTTTTCAGAGCTCCTATAAATTTATTCCAGCCAGTATGGAGTTGTTTCTTAACGTTTCCACAGGGAAAACAGGAGCTTAGATCTTCATAATTCTCTACTTTGATCATGTCAGTCTCTTGGTCCTTTATTCCTTATTCTCTCTATCCTTTCAGGAGACAGGAATCAAAATGAGATGGCGACTCTTCACAAAGCAGAATTAAGGTGCTTTTCACTGGGAGAGCTTTCATGCTGGCAAATCAAGAGACATGTTGCAAGCACATTAGCCAGAAATCAAGACTCCATGATAAATATTGAAGTACAGAGCTCTCAGTTCCCCGAGCACCATGATTCCCCCTGTCAAGTGGGAGCAGGAGAATCTATTCAAGCTTCTGTGGATGACAGCTGTCTAGTGAATCTCATAGGAGATCATTCCAGTATCATTGAAAATCAAGAATTTCCAACTGAGAAAGTTCAGAATTCATGGAGTAAAATGTACCTGAATCAGACACAGAATTATCAGAGAAGTTGTAAGCAGACCCAGATGAAAAACAAATTATGTATATTTGCTCCATGTGTTGACATTTTTGGTTGTATTTCACACCATCATGATAATATATTGCACAAAAGAGATAAAGCTCATAGCAATAGTGATTGTGGTAAAGACACCCTAAAGGTGTCACCTCTTACCCAGCATAGTATTCACACAGGACAGAAAACCTACCAGGGTAATGAATGTGAAGAAGCCTTCGATGATGGCTCCAGTCTTGAACTTCATAAGCAGGTGCACTTGGGAAAGAAGTCTCCAGCATGTAGTACACATGAGAAGGACACCAGTTACAGCTTAGGTATTCCTGTTGAACAAAGTGTTCATACTGGAAAAAAACGCTACTGGTGTCATGAATGTGGTAAAGGTTTCAGTCAGAGCTCAAACCTACAAACTCATCAGAGAGTCCACACAGGGGAGAAACCCTATACATGCCACGAATGTGGTAAGAGCTTTAATCAGAGCTCACATCTTTATGCTCATTTGCCTATTCACACTGGAGAGAAGCCCTATAGATGTGACAGTTGTGGGAAGGGCTTCAGCCGTAGCACAGATCTTAACATTCATTGCAGAGTTCACACTGGAGAGAAGCCTTATAAATGTGAGGTGTGTGGGAAGGGCTTCACTCAGAGATCACATCTTCAAGCCCATGAAAGAATTCACACTGGAGAGAAACCATATAAATGTGGAGATTGTGGTAAACGCTTTAGTTGTAGCTCAAATCTTCATACCCATCAGAGAGTCCACACTGAAGAAAAACCATACAAATGTGATGAGTGTGGTAAGTGCTTTAGTTTGAGCTTTAATCTTCATAGTCATCAACGAGTCCACACAGGAGAAAAACCATATAAATGTGAAGAGTGTGGTAAGGGTTTTAGTTCAGCCTCAAGTTTCCAGAGCCATCAGAGGGTCCATACAGGAGAGAAACCATTTCGATGCAATGTGTGTGGTAAAGGCTTCAGTCAGAGTTCATATTTTCAAGCACATCAGAGAGTCCACACTGGAGAAAAACCATACAAATGTGAGGTGTGTGGAAAGCGCTTCAATTGGAGCTTGAATCTTCACAATCATCAGAGAGTCCACACAGGAGAGAAACCCTACAAATGCGAAGAGTGTGGTAAGGGTTTCAGTCAGGCCTCAAATCTTCAAGCCCATCAGAGCGTCCACACTGGGGAAAAACCTTTCAAGTGTGATGCATGTCAGAAGCGATTCAGTCAGGCCTCACACCTTCAAGCCCATCAGAGAGTCCACACCGGAGAGAAACCATATAAATGTGACACATGTGGTAAGGCCTTCAGCCAGAGGTCAAATCTTCAAGTCCATCAGATCATTCACACTGGAGAGAAACCATTTAAATGTGAGGAATGTGGGAAAGAGTTCAGTTGGAGTGCTGGTCTCAGTGCTCATCAGAGGGTCCACACAGGAGAGAAACCCTATACATGTCAGCAGTGTGGGAAGGGTTTCAGTCAGGCCTCACATTTTCACACACATCAGAGAGTCCACACTGGAGAGAGGCCTTACATATGTGATGTCTGTTGTAAGGGCTTCAGTCAGAGGTCACATCTTGTCTACCATCAGAGAGTCCACACTGGAGGGAATCTGTAGAAATTTGAGGTGTGGTTCACCCTCCAGTTAGAGTTCACGGCTTTTGTCTCCATTGAGAAGTCCATGCTGATGAATGTGGAAAGTTCCTTTAAAACTAGAAGGTTCAAAGAATCTTGACAGGAAAGAAGTCTCTCAAATGCTGTGTTTCAGACTTGGTTAGGACATGAATTCTTTACAAACGTCATATTTCACAGAAAACTCTCTGTTCTATAAATATGATCAGTGTTTATATCAGAGTTGCCAAGTGTCTCAGTTCTCAAGATGTAACACAGCAGAAAAATATTGTCAGAGTCTGCCCAGGAGAGAGGCCTTACTTTAAAAAAAGTATGATTGAGGCTGGGCACGATGGCTCATGTCTATAATCCTAGCACTTTGGGAGACCGAGGCAGGCGGATCACAAGGTCAAGAGACGGAGACTATCTTGGCCAACATGGTGAAATCCCGTCTCTACTAAAATACAAAAGTTAACTGGGTATGGTGGCGCACACCTGTAGTTCCAGCTACTCAAGATGCTTAAGAAGGAGAATTACTTGAACCCAGGAGGCGGAGGTTGCAGTTAGCGAAGATTGCGCCACTGCACTCCAGCCTGGCGCCTGGTGACAGAGTGAGATTCTGTTTCAAAAAAAAAAAAAACAACTATGATTGACAGAAAAAATTGATGTCAACTAAAATGTAACCTCTATATAGGGAGGTGTTTTTCACCACTGTATCTCTACTATGTAGACTTGTGCTTGGCTTATAATAGGGCCTGGCAATTACTGGAAAAAGTGAAGAAAATACCTATAATTAGGACAAATATTTGAAAATTCTAGTCTGTTTTCTACCCTAAATTCATATTAATTTATATTCAAAAGGAATTTTGTAAGTAGCCTTAATAACGTTAGTTTCAGGAAATACTAAAGTACAGAAAAGTATATAATACTGCCATCTATACTAATACAAATTTGGACAAAAGACATGAATGGCTCCCATCATTCAGCCTTAGTTCTTTGTACAGTGTGTCATCAGTTGTGTAGTATAATTTTTAGTGTCATTAGTTTATAGACTGAACAATACTTTTTAAAATCTAATGTGACACTGCGATTTACATGATTAGAATTTTTGGACACTGATTAAGGTTGAGCTTTACTGTAACTCTGAAAGCTAAAAGTAGTTACTGATGACAAAAAGTTTCTTAATAAACTTGAGTTGTTAATAATTTGTTTCATTATTTCCATTCAGGTTCAGATCAAGTTTCTTTTCTATGTGTAGTCCTTATTCCTTCTAGACTTCTAGAAGGAGCTTTGGCAGATTTCAAGCACATTAATTTGTCACATTCCCTTAAAAGGGGGTAGCAGGGCAAGAAAACTGTTGAGTTTTTATTGAAATTTTATATATTGTTTATTTTGTTAAATAGAGCCTTGCTGTGTTGCTCAGGCCAGTCTCAAACCCCTGGCCACAAGCATTTCTCCAACCTTGGCTTCCCAAAGTGTTGAGATTACAGATGTGAACCCCTGTGCGCAGCCTTGAAATTGTATTCAATGTAATGATTTAGATGGATTACCATTGACACAGCATTCTTTGCGTAACACTTCTTAGTATGAGTGGACAATAAATACTCTGACCTGGCAGCCCTAGCACTAGAAATTTCACTTAGGAGATTGTGACAAAAGTGAGAAAGATTGTACACAAGGATATTTATCCTGAATTCAAAAAGGAAAATGTCAGTAAAATATTTGAGTAAGTCTTGATATATCCTTATAACATACAGGCATTAAGGTGATCAGAGATCTGTTATAACTAGAGAAAACATTATTCATGAGAAAACTAGGTTGGAACCTTCCTGGGATGATCCAATTAATAGAAGTCTGTCTATCTAATGATGTGATTATGTACATAGAAATAATGGAAGGATATTAATATGCTAACACTTGTTTACTCTGGCATGGAAGGTTGGGATATTTAACTTTTCAAAAAATTACAGTGACATCAATTTTATCAAAGCAGTAAAACTGAAAGTTATGCGTAAATGAAAATCCCTTATAGCTAAATCTAACTTGTTTGCTTTATCTAATTATATGGCATGTAATCCTGTGTTACGGTTATGTAACTGGCTTAAGTCCAGCTGCTTGCCACTCAGAGGCTGAAACCATGAGAAACAAAATGTAGTGAAAGGAAGGCAGTTTTGCTAATCAAATGCTAGCAATTGGGAATTGACCAGGCTCATGCCTTAAAATACCATTTCAACTTTGTGTGAGGGAGTTTAAAAAGGAAAACTTGGTGTGGGAGATACGTGGGAGCGATGCAGCCCGATGCAGGTCTTGCATGTCTTGTTCTGATGGTTATCTTGAGTAATAGCCCGTCTGGAGGTCCAGTTGGCATCATCTTGACTTTGGCCCAGAAGTGGTGGATGAACTGTTCATAACTGCCCCTAAGTGGGAGGGAGGATTGTGCAGCTGGTTCGTTTAGTTTCTATGTCAGGTTTGCTTTAAAATTAGATCCTGGAATTTCTAAGCAAGCAAATTAGACAAGTGAGCACTGTGCATGAAATACCTGACGGGGAAGAGAGAGATGAAGAGTTTTAAGGTATAAAGCCACGTTCTGGGATTGGAAAGGAAGGGGAAAAAAGTTTTAAAATGCATTTCAAAGCTGGAATACTCAGTTACAATTCCCCACTTTCAAACTTCATCCTTTTTTTAAAAAATCATTATTACACTTTAAGTTCTGGGATATATGTGCAGAATGTGCAGGTTTGTTACATAGGTATACATGTGCCATTGGTGGCATGCTGCAGCCATTAACCTGTCGTCTACATTAGGTTATTTCTCCTAATGCTATCCCTCCTCTAGCTCCCCACCCCCTTACAGACCCCAGTGTGTGATGTTCCCCTCCCTATGCCCATGTGTTCTCATCGTTCAGCTCCTACTTATGAGTGAAAACACGCAGTGTTTGGTTTTCTGTTCCTGCGTTAGTTTACTGAGAATGATGGTTTCCAGCTTCATTCATGTGCTTGCAAAGAACATGAACTCATTCTTTTTTATGGCTGCATAGTATTCTATGGTGTTTATATGCCATATTTTCTTTATCCAGTCTATCATTGATGGGCTTTTGGGTTGGTTCCAAGTCTTTGCTATTGTGGATAGTGCTGCAATAAAGACACATGTGTGCATGTGTCTTTATAGTAGAATGACTTATAATCCTTTGGGTATATTCCCAGTAATGGGATTGCTGGGTCAAATGGTATTTCTGCTTCTAGATTCTTGAGGAATCACCACACTGTCTTCCACAATGGTTGAACTAATTTACACTCCCACCAACAGTGTAAAAGCATTCCTAATTCTCCACATCCTCTCCAGCATCTGTTTCTTGACTTTTTGATGATCACCATTCTAACTGCTGTGAGATGGTATCTCATTGTGGTTTTGATTTGCATTTATCTAATGACCAGTGATGAGCTTTTTTTCATGTTTGTTAGTCACATAAATGTCTAACACTTTTGAGAAGTGTCCGTTCATATCCTTTGCCCACTTCTTGATGGGGTTGTTTTTTTCTTGCAAATTTGTTTAATTTCTTTGTAGATTCTGGATATTAGTTGTCAAACGGATAGATCGCAAAAATTTTCTCCCATTCTGTAGGTTGCCTGTTCAAATCTAATGATAGTTTCTTTTGCTGTGCAGAAGCTCTTTAGTTTAATTAGATCCTGTTTGTCAATTTTGGCTTTTGTTGCCATTGTTCTCGATGTTTTAGTCATGAAGTCTTTGCCCATACATATGTCCTGAATGGTATTACCTAGGTTTTCTTCTGGGGTTTTTATAGTTTTAGGTCTTATGTTTAAGTCTTTAATCTATCTTGAGTTAATTTTTGTATAAGGTGTAAGGAAGGGTTCCAGTTTCTGTTTTCTGCATACGGCTAGCCAGTTTTCTCAGCATCATTTATTAGATAGGGAATCCTTTCCCTGTTGCTTATTTTTTGCCAGGATTGTCAAAGATCAGATGGTTGTAGATATGTGGCATTATTTCTGAGACCTCTCTTCTGTTCCATTGGTCTGTATATCTGTTTTGGTACTAACACAAAGAGATATTTTACTCTCTTTGTAGCAGTTGTGAATGGGAGTTCACTCATGATTTGGCTCTCTGTCTGTTATTGGTGTATAGGAATCCTTGTGATTTTTGCACATTGATTTTTATCCTGAGACTTAGCTGAAGTTGCTTATCAGCTTAAGGAGATTTGGGGCTGAGACAGTGGGGTTTTCTAAATATACAGTCATGTCATCTGCAAACAGACAATTTGACTTCCTCTCTTCCTATTTGAATACCCTTTCTTTCTTTCTCTTGCCTGATTGCCCTGGCCAGAATTTCCAATACTATGTTGAATATGAGTAGTGAGAGAGGGCATCCTTGTCTTGTGCTGGTTTTCAAAGGGAATGCTTCCAACTTTTGCCCATTCAGTGTGATATTAGCTGTGAGTTTGTCATAAACAGCTCTTATTTTGAGATACGTTCTATTAATACCTCATTTATTGAGAATTTTTAGTAGGAAGGGGTGTGGAATTTTATCGAAAAGGCCTTTTCTGCACCTATGGAAATAATCAGGTGGTTTTTGTCATTGGTTCTGTTTTGTGATGGATTAGATTTATTGATTTGCATATGTTAAACTAGCATTGCATCCTAGGGATGAAGCCGACTTGATCGTGGTAGATAAGCTTATTGATGTATTGCTGGATTTGGTTTCCCAGTATTTTATTGAGGATTTTTGCATTGATGTTTATCCGGGATATTGTCCTAAAATTTTCTTTTTTTTGTTGTGTCTTTGCCAGGTTTTGGTATTGGGATGATGCTGACCTCATAAAATGAGTTAGGGAGGAGTCTCTTTTTTTCTATTGTTGGGAATAGTTTCAGAAGGAATGGTACCTTTGTACCTCGTCTTTGTACCTCTGGTAGAATTGGGCTGTGAATCTGAGTGCTCCTGGGTTTTTTTTTTTTTTTTTTTTTTTTTTTGGTTGGGAGGCTATTACTGCCTCAATTTCAGAACTTGTTATTGATCTATTCAGGTATTTGACTTCTACCTGATGATTTAGTCTTGGGAAGGTGTATATGTCCAGGAATTTATCCGTTTCTTCTAGATTTACTGGTTTATTTGTATAGAGGTGTTTGTAGTAACCTCTGATGGTAGTTTGTATTTCTGTGGAATCGGTGGTGATATCCCCTTTATCTTTTTTTTTTTTTTCTTTTTTTTTTGGAGACAGAGGTTCGCTCTTGTTACCCAGGCTGGAGTGCAATGGCACAATCTTGGCTCACTGCAACCTCCACCTCCTGGGTTCAGGCAATTCTCCTGCCTCA